TATCTAGTATTACAAGTTGGGTCAAATGCTGTAAAAGAAAGGAAAAAATGCAGTAGAAGAGAAAAACAAGGAGATTCTAATTTAGATTAAGGGTGAGATTGGTAGACTGGATCTGTTCTAGGCTCATTGATACAGAGAAAATCATTTGCAATTGTTGTGTAGCAAGTAATTGTCTTTTGTGGTAATGTACAGGCTCTTGAGAGCTCAGTATACCACAGCAGTAAAGACTGTAAGCCTGAAGTTTGTTTTTTTGTTAAAGCATGACAACCCCCTGATGCTGTACAAGTTGCATTGAGGGTGGGATTTCAGCAGCACCTGTTTGAGAAACTATGTAAGCAGAGGCTTGGTCTATATTCTTATTTCATATCTGTCACATATACTTTTGTACTCTTTGTATCTTCTTTAGATGACATATTTATTAGGGTACAGACTAAGCTGCTGTAATAGAGACCTCTAAACACCCTTTTCTAGATAAAAATAGAAGTTTTTTTCTCTGTTGTGTAATAATTAAGAGGAAAGTTGTTCAGAGCTGTGGGGTGTCTGCTATCCTTCACACATGGCATTCATCTCCAGGGTTAAGGTAGCTGTTCCACTACTCTTTGCCCTCAAATAAAAGGGGAAATCCAGGGAAGGGCACTCATATACCTTTTAGGGCATAGCCTGAAAGTGTCACATTCCTCAGTTCACATCCCTTTTGTTAGAATCCAGCCATATGGCCACCAGGTCACAAGGGATGTTGAGAAATAGCTGGGTTTTAACTATGTAATATTTAAAGCTTAAGACTTATATTACCAAAGAAAAGAAGAGTAAATGTTTGTGGACTGACAGCCCCATTTCTGCTACCAGCAAACTAAAGTGAAAATAATTTAGCTGAACTGACATATTATTCTTACTAGTCCACACACAGTGTTTGTGGTACAGCTAAGCTCAGTGTGTCAGGATTATCTTTCTTCAGAAGTAGCCTGAATGGTGGGTATGAGTCAGACAGACAAGCAAAGGAGGAAGAGGAAAAGCATATACAAAAGTTGGGCCATGGTGAAGAGGTTGGCAAATTCAAGAAATGGAAAGAAGCCCTCTAGGTTGTGTGATGAGTAAAAGAGTTATGCAAAAGGAGATGGTAGAGATAGGCAGGAGTGATCAGAAGGGACTATGGTTCTTTAATAGACCTTTGGACTTTATTGAAAATTCAGTGACAGTTTTTAACAGAGGAATAGTGTCATCTATTTGAAGTTAAAAAATATCATTTTGGGTTCTGGGTCTGGAAGGTCACTGTGAGTTTAAGAAATAAAACAAGATAGATCTGTGAACACCATTTGCAGTGGTCAGGGTGAAAAATGATAATAGTTACTTGAACCTGGTAATACAAGGATTTAGAGAAAAGTGGACAGATTTGAAAAGTATATCAGAGGTAGAATTGACAAGCCTTGGTGAAGTATTGCATATGGGGATGAGAAAGGGTAAAATGCTGAGGAGGACCTAAAAAGTTCCTTTGAGAACAACAGAATAAATGAAATTGACACTGTTATGACCTTGAGTTTGAAGTGGAGTGTTAGTTAGCTCTCCAGCACTGTAACAAAATACCTGAGATAAACAACTTATAAGAGGAAATGTTTATTTTAGCTCATGATTTCAGAAGTTTCAGTCTTGATAGGAGCAAGTGGCAGAGGAAATGGCTTCCCTCATGGTAGCTTTATGATGAAGAGTCAGGAAAAGGCCAGAGCCTGAGTATCTTTCAAGTGCATGCCCCAAGTGACTTAACTTCAAAAATAATAAAACAAGACAATTGATACTTTTTCATTATTAATAGGATTATGTGATAATAGCCATATGACTAAGATTTCAAATGTTTTTCTAAATTCTGAGTTATATTCAAGTATATAGAATTCATGGGAACATACACAATTTTTTCCCCAACTAAATGTATAAGTTTGGAAATTAAATCATAAAATGTCATTTCTCAGACCACATATTGAAAAAGTGCAGAAGAAACACCATCGTTTTATAGATAAAAACTGCTAAAAGCTAATTAGTACTGCAAAGGGCAATGGTAATGGGTGATAATTTACTCCAGTGACCTAAAGGAAGAGAAAACAGTAAAGTTGACATAATCATTTTATGTGAGATTGATATCCTTTTATGTAAAATTGATTTTTAAAAACAATTTCAGTTTTACAGACTATTTTTGAGCATTCATTGTCTCATATAAAAGCAGTTAATTCAGCTGCTTTTCTGGTCTCTGAAAAACAGGAACAACCTCAGATCTACAGGTACTAACAGTTGAAATCTTCTAGTTTATGTTGATGTAGTTGGTAGAAGTTGAAATAATATATAAATAGCACAGGAAAAAGGGAACCATATTTATTGCTATTTTCAATCTCACATATTTGTAGGAAATTAGATGGTATGCTCATGAAGAATAAGCACTGTCCAATAGAAATCCAATAGAAATATAATGTGAGCCACATATGTAATTTAAAATTTTTAATCTCAATAAAATTCCAAAGAATTTGATGAAATTAATTTTAGTGATATATTTTATTTATCCCATACTTACAATACTGTTTCAAAATATAATCAATATAAAAATTATTCATGAAATAGTTTCTATTTTACACTTAGAGTAAATCTCAGTTTGGATGAATGACATTTCATTTGGACAGTGCAGTTCTAGAACACATATTTTCTTTTCATTTTCTATACATTCATACAAAGCTCAGGTAACTAGAAGTAAAGGTTTAAAGTTTATGATTTTGTCAGGAAGGAATTGTGAGATTGATACTCCTGGATAGCTCAAGCAACAGTCATGTAGTCAAGGGCATAATGGAGTAAAACCAGAGGAGTGGGTACACTTGACTCCATTGCCTGTGAGCAAAAGTATTATGCATATTCAAAGAATAATGTGTGCTTGATTTATAGAGAGCTAAATTGTCAATTTCCTATTTTATTAAAAAGTACACTTTTTTTGCACACATATAAAGCATGACTTATTTGTTTTTAATTTTTAAAAGCAAAAATTAAAAATTCCCCAACCCATTTAGGTTAAATAATATTTCTAAAAATTGAGAACATTTTCTTTTCCTTCCATCGTAATATATTTTGGGGATAGTAATTAAATATGTGCCCTGATATTCATTTCTATTGTTTTATATTTTAAAACCATTTGAAACTTAGAAAAAAATAATATTATTCAAACTAGAATAAAGAGCATTAAGACAGAAGATTTATTTTTGTATCCTTCAGCTGTATTATTGTTTGGATATGTGGATTACCTAAAAATGTTCATTTATTGAGGTTAGATTTTAATATTAAAAATTCCCTCTTAAATGAATCCTGGTATATGCACTTTGTGGGCTAAATGAATTAGGCTCTAAACTTTTATCTGAATCAATGGAGCTTCGATATAAATTGAAAAGATCACAGCTATGGGGAGAAGACCTATACTGCAAAGGCCTTTCTGCATAGATTATGAACATCATAACTCAATAATTTTTTCAAAACTATGGTTATAATTGGACCCAATGGGGGGTTTGTTTCTTTGATCAGATCACAGCAACTGTGACTTCACACTGGAAAATGTCACCACTGTGCAGGTTTATCACCTGTAGAGCTGCTCTTTCCTCTGATGCTGTGCTCATTTCTCATTAGCATTATTCAAAGTTTAGTTGTTAATTAGGTTGACACTTCAATTACAATCATCATCTACAAGACTAGTCAGGACTACTTGCATAAGGAAATAAAAATATTCCTTTTTGCATATATGTGTAAAGGATAAATGACATTATTTTATTATCTGGTAGTTTCATACAGTAAGAACATGCTCTGTTAAGGGAGGAATCCAATTGGAATTTGTCTCAGTTTTTATTAAGAAAACAGAATTGTTACATAGTTTTACGTTTCTGTTTTAAGCATTGATGGGGGTTGTGTATGAGGATCAATATTTTTAAATATAAAGACTATAGTTTTCCATTGTATGTGAAAGAAATTATTGAAGTGAATTTGATGCATAGGAGAATGTTACATATCTCCTCTCAAAAAAATGAGTTTACATCAGGAGTAGAACTCACTTAAACATTAATCTGATAATATTGTTCTCTAAAGTGCGTAGCACTTGAAATTAAAGGATGGAATATGTCTGAAAAATGATAACACATTTAGGTGACTTTTAAAATCATACAAATTCCTAGATGAATCTTTCTTAATTTAAAAACATTAGTACTTTTTTGATTACTGGTTTATGATATAGTGACATTGAACTTAAGGCCAGCATGTGGTAGTCTGAAAACTAGAAAGAAAGTGTATATCATATATTTTCCTCTTATTAGCTACATAGTGAGGGCAGGTTAATTCATGTCTTTGCATCTCTTATCTCTTCATTCATAAATGGGATATGAATTCTTTTCTTAGAAGACTATTGTGAATATTAAATGAGACAATGTGTAACATTTGCAGAACATAATTCTCCACTCATGGTAAGGTCTCAATAAGTTTATCTCTTCTTCCCTCTTTTTTTTTCTAATAATGACAAAACATATCAACAAATGACTGGAAAATTACATATGCAAATGAAGCTTTCAAAAGTAAAATAAAATTCTAAGTGATCCTGAAGAACCCACAACAAATAACCTTACATAGCAGAAATGAGCTATATTCAATGAGCTTCACCTCAAAACAAGTGGACACATGTTGTAATTGCTAAAAATCTGCAGAAAAGTGGCTCACAAGCAGTTTACTGTAAAATAATTAAAGCTTATTTATGTCAAGAGGCCTTGGGAAAAAAAAGAGCGTAAACCAATTTGCATTAGCACGTTACTATTCACTCCTGCTTTGGTTTCAATTAACAGACCAGCAGGTGCTCGCTGCAGTTAAAAAGATAAGCTATCAGAAAGAAGGATGAATTTTTGGCTGACCTGCAGACACTGTGGTTTGCCTGCTGATTGGGTTCGTACCTCGCTGTACCAATTTCTGAGGTGTTAATTTAACTGTTCTTCTCTGTCATGCAGGTCTCAGCCTTGAAAAATAAACTGAAGAAACAGTCTACAGCTACCGGTGATGGACTAGCTAGGGCCTTTCTTAGGGCACAGGCTGCTTTGTTTGGATCCTACAGAGATGCTCTGAGATACAAACCTGTAAGCATTTTATTTCATCACTATTGTATAGTTCTTTGGAATGAGGCAAAAGAAAGAAACATCATTTTAATATCACACCTTAAAAAAGTATCATGACTATCTTATAAAATCCAACATAATATACTATAAAACATTTCCAATTCCTTGGCTTTCTGTGTTAAGTTTTTTGGCAAACTTTAGTTAATACTTCCCACACTTTTGCATATCACCTTATTAAAATTCTAAAAATGGAACACTTACCTCTTAACTAATTAATTGTGTTCAAACATAAAGCACTTATCTGATCTTGTTAAAATTATTAAGAAATTCATCAATCAAATTTATTTAATGAATTTAAATATGACAAGTACAATGTGAAAGTTTAAGAAGTTAAAACTGAAAATTTTTGCAATATTTGGAAACTTAATTGTTTGCCTAATGTGTAACACTTTTCTAAAGTGGGCTTATCTATTTAGTGTATTTTGGCTCATTTTGCTGTTAATTTTACATTCTAAAAATGGTTATTGTGTAGAATTATAGCCAAGTTTTTAGGTGGTCTAATCTGCATTATTGATTAAGGTATGTTAAGTTGATTTATAAAAATGATTATACTACTGTTCCATGACCAGATAAATATATTTCAAAGGATAAAAACATAGAATTAGTAAAAGTAATACAAAGACCTGCTGTTTATTAGGAAGTTTACTAAACTGTAGTACCCTTAGTCACTAGACTTTGATCTTATTTGTAGAATGAGAATTCTTATAGTTTCTCTATCTTTCAGGGTTGGTTTGTAAATCCCTATTGTAAAGTAGGAAGTACTAAACATATGTGAATGTGTTCAAGGGCTATTGAGTTATTGGAAGACTCTTAAATGCATGAGCATGTTGGCTGCTGTCTCTAAGTAAATGTGTATGTCCATTTTACATGCTCTGTTAGCTTTATGTTAGCTGTAACAAAATACCTGTGGTAATCAACTTATAAAAGGGAAGGCTTTATTTTTAACTCACTGTTTTGGATGTTTCAGTCCATGGTCCATTGGCCTCATTGTTTTTGAGCTTTGGGAAGTCAGCTCGCTTTTGCAGGGAGCACGTGCAAAGCTCCTTATCCTTACTTCATGGCTGGGACACAAAAATTAAGGAGAAAAGGTCCAGGATCTCAATATCCTCTTCAGGGGTACATACTCAACAAATGGAAGACCTCTCCTTAGAGGTCTTAAAAGATTTCACCATCTCCCAATAGCTCCACTGGCTGAAAGACCAGGCCTTAACATGTGGGGCTTTCAGGTCCCACTTATCTAAACCATAGCACATGCTAATGCTTTAAATGTATGCATTTATAGAACTCATAGTACCATACATAACATACAGAGCTCATATGGGAGAGCCTTAAATATTGTTGTTAGGATCTCACTCTTTGCAAGACTAGAAAACAGTTATCTACTCTCTAATAAGGCATATACATATTCAATTTATTCAACTTTACTTAAAACAGAAAAATCAGTTTGAAAGACAAAATTAATGATTTATTATGATTATAGGATTTTTTTGTAATAGGAATTGATTTTGAGTTTATAGTATAGGAAAGAAGGTTACAAATATAATTTTGCATGAATTTTACCACATTTAAATACTTATTCATCTTTATAAACTAACTTTTTCTTTTTGTTTTCCTTCTAAAATTTGTGAAAAACTACAGATTTGAGGACAGAAGTAAACTGAAGTGAAAAGAGAAACATTTCTTAATAGATTTAAATTGTCAATATGTTGGGTACAGTGTGGAATGATTAAAATAGCATGTTTTTAACATTTTTGAGCTTCATTGAGCAGACAGGAATATAAGATTTCCATGATTTTCAGTTTTTTCAAAACAATCTTGAAAGCCATAATTTCAGTACCTGTAAGAAATATATAATTTTATCATAGAATATCTTTGTTTTTATTGATCCCATTTGTTAATTTTTTCTAATTTTTTTCCTTTTAATTTTTGATATTTTCTCTTTTTATTGCTAGTTCTTTTAGGGAGCTGGGGAATAGTATTTTCATTTTGTATGCATTTTTATTGACTTTGAAAAGTTTTTAAAGTTATTGAAAACATTCAGGTTTTTTAAAAATTTGTTTTTCAAAAGTAACAGTATTCAAGGGAAACTATTCATATCTTTATTATGTTTAAAATGTGTTTTAAGCCATTTTCTTTACAAATTGATTGTGTCATAATTTATTAAAATGATTGCTTTTTTTCTAGATTATTTTTGGTCATTTGTGTAATAGGTATATGTACTTTATATATTTTGATAGATATAAATAAAAATGGATCAAGTGTTGAAATTATAATATTTCATGGTTTTGCCTATTCATGAATATATTTTAGTAGAATATTCTCACTAGTAGAGTATAACTTTAAGGGAAAAACCTACTAAATACCTTTAAGGTGGATATAAATTCTTTCATTAGGCCTTACTTTTTAAAGTTTTATGATTGTTCATGGGTATAAAAATGAATCATTATTTCCTTTACTGACAATACTTAAAATGTGTTTAGGCCCAGACTAACCAGGGTGTCAGGCTATCTCTTCACCTGATGCTGAGCAAGTAATCTGTCTTCCTTTTACTTTCTTTCCAAAACTTTGACCTCAGTTTATATAATTCTGCCTGAGGCACCAGTAATCTCAAGCTTCTCAGGCTCCCAAACCTTTATTTATAATTTTCTTTCTTTCTGGCAGTTCTTTTATCTCCTATGATTTTAATGTTCAGCCAAGTTACTTCCTGATTCTTGACTCCATACTTCATGCCTGATCCTTTCTTTCTGTGAACTATATATTCATTTTCCTTAATATACTACTTCTCCATTATTCACTGATTATTTTCTTGTTATTTTTACTCATACTTGTAATTTTTGATTGCTATTAAAGCAGTAACTGACTGCTGAGCACCCATTAGATGCCAGACATTGATAGGCCCTAGAGATAAACACTTCCATTTAATTTTTACAAGCCTTCAAGACATTACCTTTTTATTTTAAAGATAAACACAATGATAATCATAGAGTTGAAAAAACCTCACTGTGTTTCCCTAGCTAGTGAACAGTAGGACCTGGATTAGATTGTTCTTTCCACGGTCCCTCTCTCCAGTGTAACGTGTTCCTGTTCAATCTTGCCTGTTATCATAGACTCCTGAAGGTACATTTCCTAAAGGTGTATGTCTTCTTAAATGAATGTGTTGGGGCTCAGAAAAATGATACCCCAAGCTGTGCTTTGACGTGCTGATCCAGAGGAAGTCTCAGAACTAAGGTTTCTCTGACCTTCTTGCCTTCTTTACCCTACACCTGCTGTGTCCCTCAATGTCTTTGGTCCTTTCTTCCCAGAAGCACAGGGCGACTTTCTCTGAGGTTGCCTTCCCAGAAGGAAGGCAGTTGTTATGAAATCTTATCATATAACCAGAAACGTTAACTGTCAGAGACAATAACATTACCATGCCCATAGGGTAAGTTAAAGTATGGTAACTTTAACTTACCCTATGGGCATGGGTAAGTCTGTATATGTATCTAATGTATAATGATGGAAATCAGAGTAATTAGCATTTCCATCTCCTCAAACATTTATTATTCCTATTTGTTGAGAAACTTCAAACTTTTCTAGCTGTTTGGTAAGTCTGTACATGTATCTAGTGTATAATGATGGAAATCAGAGTAATTAGCATTTCCATCTCCTCAAACATTTATTATTCCTATTTGTTGAGAAACTTCAAACTTTTCTAGCTGTTTTTAAGTATATCATAGATTGTTTGAGACTGTAGTTTCCCTTCTAGACTATAGAACACCAGAAGTAATTTCTCCTAATTAAACCCAAGACTTTATTTCTTCTTAATCAGTTTTTGTTTTCTTTTAGGACTTTGAATATATCATCCCAATATCTTCTGGCCTGTAAGGTTTCTGGTGGGAAATCTGATTTTGTCTAATGAGACTGCTGTAGTCGTGACTTGTCACTTTTCTCTTGTTGTTTTTAGAATTCTATCTTTATCTTTGATTTTTCACTTTGACTGTAATATGCCCTGGAGGTCTTTCTTGATTGAGTATACTTGGGATCATTTGAAATTCCTGAATCTGGATATCCATATGTCTTTCAGGACTTATTTTCAACTATTTTATTAACTTGGATTTTCCTGTATTTAATGTCTTTTCTTATCTTATCTCCTTTCAGAACTCTCATAAGATGAATATTTCTTTGTTCAACAATGTCCTTTATGCTTTTAAGACTTTTTTCATTCTTTTTATTTATTTTTTTCTTTTTGTCTGAATGGGTTATTTCAAAATATCTGTCCTAAAGTTTATAAGTCTTTGTTCTGCTTGGTTCTATTTTTTGTTGAAGTTCTCAATTGTATTTATTTCATTGATTAAAGTTTTGGGCTACAGAAATACTGTTTGCCTCCTTTTTATTATTTATCTTGGTCAAATATCTCATTTATATCATGAATTATTGTCTTCACTTTGTTCATTTGTTTATCTGTATTCTCTTGCATATCACTGAGTTTTTACTTAGAATTGTTCTTTTGAATTCCTTTCCAGGTATTTCATAGATGTCCTTCTTTCTCATGGGTATCTTTTATGGAGAATTATTGTGTTGCTTTAGCAGTATCATTCTTTCTTGCTTTTTGTGATTTTACTTATATGTCTGCATATCCAGTGTAACAGGAATCTTTTCAAGTTGTAAGGAGTAGCTTTCATAGGAAAGGAATTTTTTGTTCAGGTGTGTAGTGTACGATGTTGGGTAGGTAGATGCTTTGGCTTTGGTTCTAAGTGAGCACAGTATAGCCTTCATGTGATTTCTCTAACTGTAATCAAGTTAGCCATGTCTACATATGCCTCTGTAGTCTAGACAGCAGCATTTTGGTGTGTGTGTGTGTGTGTGTGTGTAAAGGTAGGTAGTAGTACAGTTTTACAGTGGATGACTTGTTGCTTCTATGTTATTTCTTTAGCTGTAAGCAGTATTATCCATGTCTACAAGTACCCAGTAGTCTAGACTGC